ATTTGCTGTGCAGACATGAAAAAAACATCAAGCAGATAAAGGGGGCTGTCAAAATGTGCCTTTAAGCGGTGATTATGCAGACCTACGCACCGGTGGGGTTGGAAGACAAGCTCTCCGCATCGCCTCGGAGCCCCCGCCGCCGCTGCCGCTGCTGCTGGAACTGCTGCTCCGGCCTCCGCCGCCTCCGCCACCGCCGCCGCCTCCAGCGTTGCTGGAGCTGCTGGGGGAACTCGCCGAGGGCGCGGCGGACGCAGAGGAGCCCGGAGAGGCGCTGTGCAGAGCTGAGTACTTGGGCTCCACGTGCAGGCTACCCGCGTGCGGCATGCTGAACGCCTGCTTGCTGTTCAGGGACATCATCATCCTCCTCCCTTGCGTGGCGCGCTCGTCGCTGGCGCACACTGGTCCCAGCTACCCGGACCCTCCGGAGAAGCGCCCGCCGGGAGAGCAACAGAGAAGACCGCACTACAAAGTTGTGCTTAGCCGCCACCGCCTCCCGGCTCTGCTGGGCCGAGTCCCAGAAACTAGCTCCGCTCCTGCGTCGCCTGCTAGGTCTGTGGGAGCTGTTGCCCTGCTCCGGGTGACGCTAGCTTCAGACCTCAGAGCCCCAAAGTGCACCAGCTCGTCGAGGCCGTGGAGTTATAGTCTCCTGTTCCCGCGCCTGCCCCCTACCCGCCCTCCCCACTTCTTTTCTCCCCTGCCCTTCCCTGCCAGGAAACACTGGCTCTGGGTGGGTTTCTCCTTGCCCTGGCTTCACCTCGGTTCTTCCCAGACTCGGATCCTTTTAGTTCCTCTGGCTCCAGTCCCTCTGGCTCCGCCACGGGTCCCGCTGCCTTCTCTGCCCCAGCACGCGCTTTGCTGTTGCCACCCCTGCACCTGCAACTCTTGCTTCCTATCGTACTGTCAGTTCAACCCCACCCAACTGGGCAGATCGGTGCTTCAGTCACCGGGCAGTGACAGTCAACTAAGGGCCAGTCTCCACCCCTCCCGCTGCTTCTGCCAGATTTCCACCTCCCGAGGAAAAGAAACTCCCCTTCAAAAGTTGCCTTCCAAGCCAACCTTGGAGGCGACTGTCCCTGGACTGTTAGGAAAACCTTACCTGGAGACCTGCTTTCCTGCCCCCTGCTTACCACTAAGTTTCAGGGACCCTCCCCTCCCGGCAGTCCAGTGACCCTGATTCCCCAGCTGCCGGCCACTGCTGAGGATCTGCGGCTAACTCGGGTCCTTTGCCTTGCTCTGAGCTCCGGTCTTGATGTGAGCTGAGGTCAGCCCCTAGCTTCGCACCCCGCCGCTCGGCGGGTGCCTAGTGCAGAAAGACGTAGATCTGCCGGGCTGCAGGGCTTTCTCTCCCTCGGTTTTCCTCAGCTCTCAGCGGATTGGACAGCCGCGCAGCCCGCTAGGGTCGTCTGTGCGCATGCGATTCCCCCCTTTATGGGCATACCCCCTCCAACACACGCACATATTCCTCACCCCCACCCCTTTCCTCTTTTTCCACCTCCTCCCTATGTCCAGTGCAGGGTGAGTTGGGACTTGGGAGGATCCCCTGGCAAACCTTAACTCTGGATTTATTATTCTTCATTAGCTACAATCAAAGGAAAAAGAACAACTGACAGGAAGAGAAGGGCCAGAAATACAGAGCGCATGTGCTGCCGAATGCCGCCACCACAACACTCGCTCGAGCACGCACGCACACACACACACACACACACACACCCTCAGGGGTTGGCATAAGCCCCACTTATCTTCATTTCCACAGCCACTGCGTACAGACTATTTTTAGCTTGCACTTTGCTCGCACTTTAGTACTAGTGCACACCACTTTTCCTAGAAGTGAACACACACTCGGAGTTCCAGTTACAAAAGCAAACAGTGCGCCCCCCTCCCCAACCCCAGCCCCCCAAACACAACCTATTTATTCTCCTTCATGTTTCCATCATTCCTCTACTTCCTGCGGTTTGGGGAACTACTCTCGCATCCCGCCCCCCCAAACGCGAAAGGCACTAGGTGCAGATACAGATGAGAACGGCCAGTGGCGGATCCGGGATAGGGGTGGACCGAAGCAGGTGCAGAAGCTGGGAGCTTAGAAAGGCGAGCAGGTGCGAGATGAGGCGGCAGGCCTAAAAGGAACTGGTGTGCGCTAGGACAAAAACAAAGTGGAGGGCACTCACGGAAAGGGAAGCCCTTTGGGAGTCAGCACCCGGAAGCCCTGCGGCGGTAGCGGCGAGTAGGGAACCGCCAGTTCTCCCTTGACCTCATCCAAGCCAGAGCTGGCGGGTTCAAGCTGGGAAAGCTGTGGTCAGAGTTCCACTAAAGCCTGGGCTTTGAGCGCAGGACGGGCTCTGTCCGTGGTGCTTAAATCTCTGCCGCTTTTCTTCTCCGGTCTGGAATCTGCCTTTCTCTTCCCCTGCGAAAAGGAAAATAATAAACAGTAGCCAAAAGGGATTCCTGCGAGCAGTGTTCTCGACAGAGAGCCTGAAGTAGCCTGGGCATAGGATTCGAAGAGAGGGTTGCTGACATGAAGGAACGGGGCTGCGCAAGGCTGTTCAAGTGAGTGCTTAGGTGTTTAATTTCTACCTCAACAGCCAAGGTAATTTTCAAGGAAATAAAAAAAATAGCATTGTACAGTTCTCACTGTCTCAAGCTTCGCAAAATGAAATAAATCAAAGGTAAAAGCTTGAGTATCATTTAATTATAGTGCGAATAGCGCTTTGAAAGAAGTAGAACAGTATCTCTAAACAAATTATGACCCAGCCAGGAAGGAATTATTAGATTGAAATTTCATTTAGGCTCGGGAGACACCGAGCTTCACTGTGTAATCTGCTATGCCTCATCTGATTTGTATGCTTAATTCAGCTTGACGAATTTATTAGTTTTCATAATAGTGAAAAAATGAGCAGCTCTGTGGCCTGATGCATTGTGTGTACTATAAATTGTATGTCATCGTGGAGAAGCTCTAGTCTATAGAAATCTTTTATTAATGTCAGTATAGGAGAGAGGATTTTTGTGTATGCCTTAGAGAGATCCATGCCAAACTCCACTGCCAATGTGTCTCCCTGGTCCATTAACATATCATCATACTAATTAGACCACTTCGTCGGTGATATAATTTCAAACTTCAAATTATGTTCTAATTAACAAGGGTTGTCCAATTTGCTTAATCTTCAAAAGGCTTTGGATGGTGTAATTAGTATAAACTGTTGAGCATCTCTAAAGCCTAATAAAAATCCATTAAAATATGTAGGTGTGTTTTCTATCAGTATTGAGTGGGTAAGCACCGCTTGGCCAAAGAAATTTTTAGCAGAATAGGAAATAACAGGGAGACAAATGTTTTCATTCACCTAGTTACCCTAGACTGTTGTAGGAGTGAATTACAGAGAAAAGTTTGTGATATTTCAACTCCTAAATAGAGTGTTTCCATGTATAGATAAAGGCACAAGGATAGCAAGGAGAAAAACCACATGGGGAAAGGATTCTTCTCTTTCATTAGGTGTCTAATTAGGTGTAAAAAGTAACCCTGAGGAGTCGCCTGAACAGTGTTGTGGCAACAGTCTGCTGAACTGGAACTGCAAAAATCAAATATTTGGGGTGTTTTGAACCTCTCCTTGTCCCTCCTCTTTCATTGAGCTTAATCACTTGCAATAGTTGTTTTAATGTATGTTGTCACCTGGGAGTTTTGAGAAATGCATATCGTTAATATGAATTAATCTTGATTTTAATACCAACTGACAACTGATCTCTAAAATGCTAAACACTTGTCACCACTTTATATGGTAAATAAGGTAGTGTGATAAATTCATGAAATAGAGAGGAGACTGTTGAACTGACTGGACAAACTTTGTTTGAAGTGGAATTTATTGATGATACTATTTCTTTGAGAAAGAAAACTCCCATGAAGCTATTTTCCTGATGATTAAACTCCATACCCCATTAAGTTCACCTTAAATAACTTATTTTCATCTCTAAATTGTTTTTTTAGTGATATCTCTAATTCCAGACAAGAAAAAAAAAAGATAACCACTGTTATCTAATTACCTCGTGGACGTTAATGTGTGATTGAGAAGACTGTTTTCTTCCTCCTAAAACCTACCTGTGTCTCCTCCCTCCTAGAAAACGCAAACATTTTTAAAAGGAAAGTCAGAGTCTGACTTCTTGTCCTACTCAAAGTGGAAAATGAACAACAGCGGTTGTGTAGAGAGAAATGCAAATCTTCCTTCATCATCAGGACTTGGGATCTTACAATCTCTCCCTGGGGGTGGGGTATTCAGAATACCAAGGTCCTCATGGTGATATCAATAAAACCCATTTCAATCTTGCCCACAGGCATTGCTGCAAGTACCTCAGTGAGTATAGAATGTTGAAGCCGCTCTTGGGAAAAGATTCCAAATCCTCCGTACGTCCTGTTTCTCCCCCCCCCCCCCCCCAGCAAGGAACATTTAAACTGCAGGAAAGTTGACAATAAATCTGGGGGGCAGGGAAGGGGCAAATAGAACCAGATTGGAAACCTACCTAGGATGATCTCTGTCTGCAAATGCTCCCACCCAAAACTCAGTGCCTCTGCCAATCTATGCATCTACTCAAGAAAATGGAAGCCCACAGGGGGTTAAAAAAATTTCTTAAGCAGAAGGTTGAGAAGTTTATCAATTGTGTGATCAGAGCAAGGGTTTCTCTGTCTTCTCACCCGGTCTCTTTGTTTGACAATAACCTCTGTCCCTCGGCTGGCTGGTGCAGACAGCTGTGAAAGGCCTCCCTCCGGGCTAAGAGGAAAGAGGAGTCCACCAAGGATTTCTGGCAGCAACATCAGGGTCCCTGCACTACAAACCCCCCACCCAGAAATTGACTGTTGCCCGAAGCCGTCTCAGGGGGCAAACCACTGTCTCCTCATTTCTGGGTCCTAATTTACTATTAAAATTTTTAAGTAATGCATCTATATTTTACTGGACTTAATGTGTTTTATTAAAATTTAATCTATTAAGGGCAGCCTGATTTCTTTGTATTTCAAACAGAATTGAACGGCACTACAAGAATGATTTCTCGAAAGACAGATTTGCCCTATTCCGTGCACCAATGCTGCTGAGCTAAATGAACTTGGGTAAGGGAAAGAGGCGGATGAATGGTCTTAAAGTGACCAGCGAGCTTGCTTCAGATTCCGCTTGAAAGGTGAGCCCTGAACTCTCTCCCTGGGCGCTGACTCGAGGGTGATAAAACTCCGGAGCCTTGGCTGAAAGGGGAAGGGGGAGGGGGCATTGAAACTTCAGGGGCCTGTCAAGGGTTTGTGAAAAGATCAGGAAAGGACTCCTGGAAGTAGGCGTTGAAAGAGGAGTGGGTGACTTCACTGAGTCGTCTTCCTTTGGTCACCGCCGCGCTTCTGTTTTTGTTTTCCCCTTAGAGGCTAGTAACCTGCAGTTCTTTCCCAGAAGGCTCCAAAGAGACCACAGCCTCCTCCATTTCCCACCTCTGGATCCACTGGGCAGAGGACGTCAAAACTATGTGGCTATCAGAGACACCGCTGTTCTCAGGTGGGCAGGAGACTTGATCCTGAGCCGACTTATGCCGGTAAGTCGGCAGGGGAGGAGTGAGCTGAGAGAGGTACAGAAAGGATGAAAACACACACACACACACACACACACACACACACACACACACACTTTTATCTTGGCGGGGTGATAAGAGCAAAGAAAATCTCTCTCTGGTATTGGGAAGGAAGGTAGCTGGTAGGCCAGGGGCTCCTAGGGGTCCTTGGTGTTCCTAGGGGTCCCAGCTGTTGGCCCTGTTGGGTTTGCTGTGACCAAGAACGGCAGGAACTTGAGAGAGAAGAAAGCTGATTGGACCCTCTAACAAGACATGAAAGCAAGGAACCTTAAAACTAAAATTTGCCGGCAGAGAGAACCCAAGTTCTCCTCTTCACTTAACTCTCCAAAGACTCGCGAAATCCATACATCTGTCCACACTCCCAGCATTCGCGCGCGCGCTCACGCGTGTGTACACACACACACACACACACACACACACACACACACACACACTCCTCTCCGGAAAACTTAGGGACAGAGACCAAGCCAATCTTCCTGCAGGCTCCTCTGTTTTTCCTCCCGAGGAAGTTCCATGGTCCAGTCCATGTATTTACCTCTGCTCAAAGTTAAGTCTGGTCACGAAATTAAACGGAAAGTATTGGAACAATCAGGAAAGACTTTTGCAGCCTTTGGCGCCTTGTGCTTCTTGGAACGAAAATAAATGCAAGAAATCGAAACTTAATTACTTAAAAGAAATCCAGAAATCCCTGTGAATAATTTATCCAGTCATTTTTAGTAGCATTTGTGTTTGGTTCACTGTATGTTAAATTTTGGAGATATACCTGCTTCCTTACAGGTAAGGTTCCTTGAGTCTTACTGCCCTCCACTTCAGAGAGCTTTTATTCTTCTGTGTCCTCTTGCCTCCTGCCAGTCCTGACCACAAGTCACTACATTTATTCTTAGGCTACAGTCTTCAGGCTAAGTGTTGTATAGAGTTAAATAAAATTTAGAATTGCATCTGTTCTCTCTTCTTTGTCCTTTTGGTCACGGGGACTATCACACCTGAATTTGTGTGGGATGCTTAATGCTAGATCTGATACGAGGTCCCATGGTAACTAACAGGCCAGCCTTGCTTCTCCGAAGGGAATGCAGTGCCATCAGAAGCCATTCTGCCGATGATGAAAAATTGATTAAATGGTGGATTTTTTTTCTTCACTCAAGGGAAAGGTTTCCCCCAAAACACTTTTGAGAATCATTATCTTCCTAATGACCACATACTAACTATTTATTCTGATTAAATTACTCGGCTAGGCATTTGGTCAAACCATCACACTTGGACACCAGTTTCTTCCTTTAATGTATGATCTTTTCAAATTCACTTTTTTTTCTCCTCAATTAGCTTCTGGGTAAGTGAAAAATCTTTGTACATATAAAATGTTAAAAGATCTTTCACCTAGGGCTCCAAATAAAACAGATGCTCCCAGGTTACACCTTTGAGATGCCGGCTAAGAACTGATAGCTTTTGCATACACCATGACTCTGACACTGGACACCACTGGGGATTTAACAATTTGATGATGACTAATGGTGTGGCCAGTGGATGTGTATCAGCAGACAGTACCTGCGTCTATCAGCACAGTAAGGGTAGCTCTGTGGAGACGGGCTCCTTCACAGACACTCATAGAAGGCTGAAGTAATGTTATGAAAGAATGAAAAATACATTGGGGAGCAGCTTGGAAACTGAAGTACATTTTGATTTAACTTACATTAACAGAAATGTAATGTAAAAGTGAAAGGATCTAACAAAACCATTAATAATTAAAAAATAATTACAGATGGTCTATCCTTACTATTCATAACCACTCAACACTTTAGCCAAAGAAAACGGAATACTCTTAATGGGAATGGGATGTGAGCAGACTGCCAAGGAGAAGTCGACTGAAGACTGTGCATTTGGCAAAGGACATGAGTTCTCCTTATTCCCCCAAGCTGCATCTTTTTATACTCTAACCTAGACCTTCATCTTACACCAGTATATACACTGAGTGCCCAAGTTTGTACAACAGGCATCTCTTGAGCAGTAACAGCTTAGGAGCGCAGGCATCAGACTACTTGTCCCTTAGAGTCCTCACTGACACATACCTACAGGTGCCTGGGAGGCAGAGCTTTCTAACAGACTTTGGTTGGGCAGCCCCACGCCTACCCCACCAGGACTTCACAAAAACAATGGCGTTTTCAAAGCCACAGTTTGTTCCCTGCGCCTGTCGTGATCTTTTTCTCACAGATTCACGGAAGTCTCTTTCTTGTGCCTTACTGTTTTTTTACTGCACGAATGCATTTTTCAGTTCCCAGTATCAGGTTTGTTTTATTCCCAATATGTACTTTTCAGTATCTGAAGTCTTTATGGTGGTGTTCTTTACAGCTAATCAGGTTGTAAGCCTTTATCTGTGCACTAGACCCCTTGTGAAGGTGTTGGGAAGGAGTCACAGTGACTCCATTCTGATTTTTTACTGCAAATTCTCCTTTATTTTGCTAGAGAGACACATGGGACTGCCCCCAGAGCTCTGTTGATGTTCCAGGCACTGGAAGAAATCAAAGCCACCTGACATAAAGCAAACTTCACTGCCTCTTCACAGAGATAAAGGGAAAACTTACAAAAGGAGAGATTTGCAGACAACCAACAGGAATTGAAAAAAGTCGTGACTGTGACATCTGCTGGGAAGCCACCAGGAAGTGAAGAGCTACAGCCCACGTCAAATCTTATGCATCTGAAGAATGTGAAACTTCCTTCCTTCCTTCCTCATCCCCAGATGGCTTAGAAACAAAACAGCGTGCCTTTTGTAGGAAACAAAAAAGCCTAAGAAGAAATGTTAATAGGATGACTGCAAAGATTATAAATACTTCTCAGCTATATAAATATGAACTGAGTGAATAAAACATGTTAAATTCCTTGTAGGCTCTCTCTAGCGCTCCCCCCCCCCGCACCCCCTTCTCTCTCTCTTTCCTTCTGACTCCTGTCCCTTCCAGATGCAGGACTTTATACCAGCAATGACGAGTTCACTTTTAAACTTTTATTTTTTTCTTTTTAATTTTTTTTTACATTTTTACTTATTATTATTTAGTGTGTGTGCATGCAGGGAGATACACACTTGCCCCTGTGCATGTGGGGAGGTTGGAAGACAACTTTAAGTGGTTGATTCTGTCCTGTCATGTGCATCTCAGGGACTAAACCGAGGGCCTCAAGCGTGGTGACAAGCATCTTTATGGGTTGATTCATCTTGCCAGGCCATTCTTTTCTTTTGATATATTATATATAGCCTATGATTTACCTGTATATCTCATCTTGGCATAAGTATATAGAACAAGTAAAATTACAGTTTGTACCCCTAAAATGTCATTGTGTCCTTCTTCCTTCCTTTCTCACTACCATAGATGTGCATGTGCAGTCCCCAAGGTTGAGGTCAACAGCATGAGTGCCCGGCGAAGCTGCTTTGCCTCTTGATTGATTGACATAATAGGAATCCAGAGTGTGGATTTGCTCTAGCACCCTGACAAACGTGCTGTACGTGAAAGCATACAGTATGCTCTTCCTCAGAGTGTGACGTCCTGGGTTCACTACATTCCTTCTTTCAGTGCCAGAGTCTGTGCTGTGAAGGTTATACTCATTTGGCATATTTATATCATGCCACACTTCTGATTCTATTGGCTATTGTTTATATACAGTTTATATACATTTATAAACACACAGGCAGTCACTGCTAGACTCTCTGAGATTCCTTCATTGTTTTGATTCTCTATCTTCCTTATCAAATGACCCATTTTTTCCACTTTTTCAAGAGCGTGATGATTTTACTAAGCAGGACAAGGAGATTAGGGAACTGTCATTCAGAGCTGTGATCATATATATATATATATATATATATATATATATATATATTATACATATAATAAAGACAATAGCTTTACACTTACCATCCACACCACACTGCTGCTGTGACTTTTAGTGGATATGTTTCTTTTTTGCTTGTTTGTTTGTCGTTTTTGAGACAGGGTTTCTCTGTGTAGCCCTGGCTGGCCTGGAACTCACTCTGTAGACCAGGCTGGCCACAAAATCACAGCGATTGGCCTCTCTCTGCCTCGTGGGTGCTGGAATTAAAGGCGTGCACCACCACTGACTGGCATGTGTTTTGTTCCTAAGACCTCCAGCTGTACCAGGCACGTGGGCTCACTCATTGCCAGTGGCTGTGAGTCTAAGCAGAGTGTCGTCTCTCTGGAGCCAATAGTTGCACGCTTCTGAGATTCAGATTCCTGAACCCGTGATCTCCTGGTGTCTTTCTTTCACCCTTCCTTCCTGACTATAGTGCTCACAGCCTTCGCAGCAAGCCAGTTCTATAGTATAGCTCTGGGAGGCATTCCGAATGTCCAGTCCACAGTCCAGCACTTCAATCCTTGCACAGATCTGTAAACATCCAACTGTATCCAGTCATCCTCTCTGGTGTCCATTCTCCCAGCCAGCCCTTGACTGATACTCCAGGCCATACATTGTTTCTCAACAGTTTAGAACCATCTTTGCCCATATCTAACTGACTGTCCAGTTAGAACTATGGAATCTATTGCAAACATTTTCAATCTCTACAGTCACAACTCTGAACTCCCTCATAATCTAGCCACCCTGACAGGCAGCTTTAAGCCTTCTATTGCCACCTAATTATTTATCTGTGGTTTTGCCCAATATCCTTTGATTGTCTCCAAACATTAACCTCTTCTTCCAGATCCTTATTTCCATATACTCGTGAGTTCTTAGCTTCACCCATTTTCAGAATTTGGCCTGCCAATTTATTCTGTTGCAACTTAATTTCTCCGTAGTTGGATTTTGTTGTTATTGTTTTGTTTTGGCTTGTTTGGTTTGGTTTGGTTTGGTTTGGTTTGGTTTATCGAGGCAGGGTTTCTTGTAACTTTGATCCTGTCCTGGGACTCACTTTGTAGACCAGGCTGGCCTCAAACTCATGGAGATCCACCTGTCTCTCCCTCCTGAGTGTTGGAATTAAAGGTGTGTGTCACCACTGCCTGGCTGAGACTTTTTCTTTCTTAAGAATGTTCAACCTTAGCTGGTTTCTTTCTTTCTTTCTTTCTTTCTTTCTTTCTTTCTTTCTTTCTTT